AAACCCTCCCCAGCGCCACTTTGTCCACCACAAATCCCATTTGACCAGACCCGGGATCGAACTCGGGCCGCCGCGGTGGAAAGCCAGCGACTAACCGCTTGAGCTATGGAGCGGCCCCCAGCCTCTGAGCTTCCTACATATTCATACTGTGTAACTGTATGGAGTAACATTCAATCTCACCCGGACGTTGTCATGAAGCTGTGCTCTAAAGCGAAAGGAGAACTGACCATGTGGATTGAAGCAAGTAGAAATTTGCAAGGTCTCAAATTAATTTTAGTCATAATCTTCAGTTGTCATAATGTGAAAACTGGATCAAGTGAAATTGTAATTGATAATGTATTTTTTTAAATCACTTACTGAATTCCCAAACAAATTAATTTCCCGTTATATGCGAAACGTGTTGGTCTAATACCAAGGGCAGTCATCATGTTGCAACTAAACCTACTCTAAATATTACACAAATATGAGTGATAATTTAAAGCCTGGGCTAAAAAAAATGAAACACTATGTACACGTGACATTACCCCGCGGACTACAGGACGGAACTAACAGAATTGCGATAATAGTAAAATGAGCTAGATTTATCTCCATCTACATCTGAAGTGTAATCCGTATGGAACTGCGCATGCGTGCGTGTCCGGAAGAAACTCATATATGCTATTCCCCAAAGTGACTGAGTTCACTTGGTACCGCGGTCATTATTGGCCTATTGTACCCGCCCCAGAGGATAGATAATGGTGATTGTGCAGCAATTGGTGAAATGAAGATCGGCAAGGGAAACCGTCCCAGTGCCAATTTGTCAACCAGAAATTCCACATGACCTGAATCTGTCTCGAACCCGGGTCTCCGCAGTGAGAAGCCAACGAATAACCGCCTGTAATTGACGAGAATTTGTATTAGAACCTGTTTCCGAAAACCCAGATATCAAGGGGCTGAAGAAAAAGAAAAACGCATAACCAGGCGCTACATAATTTTTATATTTCATCCCGTATTATTAGGATAAGCGGATAAGTGGAATTTTGTAGGAGCATGCAGCACGCATTGGAGAGATGTGAAACAGAAAAATTTCTAGTCATGAAACTTGAATGGAAGATAACGTCTCGAAAACTCAAGGTATTGGAATTGGTCATGAACAATTAGGGAGGCTGTGGACTGGACTCGTCTCGATCAGGGTAGGGAAGAATGGCAGGCTGTTATACAGAAGTAATTAACATTTAACTTTCATAAAAGACGGAATGTTTTGAATAACTGGGCGACTAATAGCTTCTGAAGAAGATCGCGTTTTAATGGTTAATTTTGTACCATCATCATCATTATCATCATCAGTAATCTGTCAGACGACAGGTCCACAGTCATATGCAAAACAATTCTGTATAAGTTCAAAAAATCATCAAGTGATATGGGGGAGGAAATGTTTGCATGTTCCTCAAATTCCTGCCAGATGTAAGATAATTTAATATCATTAAAAAATTTGTAATCTCTGTAAACTTTCCTCTTCAGATGATGTAATCAAACTGAGTATGTTGGGCGTGTACCTGAAATTGTACCCCTGTTCGTGATGTTATGATGAAAGTTTCGTGATATGCATAGAGCCACCTGCTGGAATTAAAAGTTTGCTACGGTATGAAATGTCTGTGCTTATAAGATTATTAACAGAATTAAGATTCAGTTGATTAAAAAGTTTCCCTCATCTATTGTTAAGGTCTGTATGAGTTTAAATACATTGTACGTCTCCGTTATGTCGTACAGCCTGCAAATGACGGGTGAAATCCGCGTGAGGAAACATTAACCTGAGCTGTGCTTTGGGTTGGGGTTAGATTATGTCGCTATTTGGCAAGGCTATTATTTATGCAAACCGCAGAGCATTATATTGCAGTATAACCGCACCCATTGCTTGAGGAATGCTTAATCAGGTCTTGAACCTCTTGGAAAGTGTCAGCCCCTTGCACTGTAATAGAACTGTGCATCAGTGATAATAATAATATCTCTTGTTACACATGTGTAACCAATGCTTTACATCCATGTCCTTTGTGTGTTTTGTGACTCTGAGCTTCACTTGGGTTACCGGTTGTCTCTGCAAAATAATAAGAGTCAATTGCTGGACGTTTCTAGGTAGCCCGATCGCTCATTAGGGATAAATATTGATTAATTACGTCTAGGTTAGTTTCTTTGGAATAATAGGACTGACAAAATGGCTTTACCAGTATCCACTTTGATTTATTATATTTGTAGTCAATACAGATTGAACAATTTAACATTATCACCTCGAATTACTCCGTCACTATCCACTGTGTAAGGAAATTTTTAAGATAAAATTTTCTTGGTTTTATTGTCAGAAATTGAGATTATTTATATATCTCGTTATTTTTACGAGATATCAAAGTCATTCTCGCCTCTTTAAACAGAACTTGAAATTTTAACTCGGGCAGAAATTTGCAGTGCATCGTTACCGATCCAGGGACAAAAATTGCGAGACATTACAACGGAATATTCCAGTGATATCGCGAAGTAGAGTATTGAGCTGTGCCTCGGGACTAAGCGTTCCCAATCCGATGTAGCAGCGGACGCAGCGATTCACTCTTGTACAATGAGCCGCGATATCACACGAACATTTCGTCAGAATTGTATTCAATTCGTGATCAATGGATTCATGTTGATCTGCTGTAAAACTTCTATGGTATTAAAAAATCAGATTCTGTTTAAAGTATTGAAGCTAACTTCGATACTTCGTAAAAGTCGTAAGATACAAATAATCGCTTTCGTGCAACATGTGTCCCCACTGGAACCATGAAAATTCTGTCTGCAACTTTTCCTGATACAATGGATAATGAAAGAGCTATTCGTCGACGTAATAATGTCAACTGGTTCACTTTACACAGACTAAAATGGAAGTATTAATAATTATCTTCGAACAGGTTTGAAAATATGTCAAGGATTCGTATGTATTGTCTCGTGTAGGGGTGTTTTGCGTGACTTATAGACGGGTTCTGGACTGGATGAATGTATTTATTGACATTTTATACACACCACTCGGAACTACAGGCAATTACAGCGCAATCGGTATTCTACACACTTTACAATTCACCGTTGACCACACACTAGGGTTCCCAGCCTTCACTAGTCGTATCCAGGCAACGGATTTATAACACGCTCACTTTCACTGCAGCACACATGAAGTTTTCCTTGCACCGTCTAAATATTTTCTTGTCATTATTCTGCAACTGTCAACTCCGAAGACTCGATTCAATTCAGTTCCCCTCCTCGCAAGCCCATATCCTGGCAGGCTAGCGTCTGGAAACTCCGCTCAGTTCTTCTCACCTGAACTCTTCTTTATAACTACTTTGCACGGATCACTAAGAAAACACAGCCACTCTGTTGCTAAGAAGGCGTGTTTAGAGCTCAGTTTCATAGCAAATGAAATTACTCGATTGTTGCTTGCATATTCGGTGCCGCGGGAATGTGTTTAGCTAGTCGTTGCGTAGCAATTAACGTCTGTTCTGATTTCACTATTCCGGCTTTCGGGCAACATGTCACAGTATACTTCGGAATGACATTAATAAATCAAAAATTGCATTCACAAAAAAAAAATATGAGCAGATTCAATTCTGGAGCTACCTGCTCTCCTTCAGTACAGAATCCTTCTCATTCCGTCTACTGTCTAAACACTTCAAGATTAAATGTAAAGAATCGTAGTTTTCGATTAAGTTTTGTGTGGGTATAAAACTTGGTATCTCACTTTAGGGAAAGCACAGACTGAGACCTTTTCAAAACGGTTGCTGAGGAGAATGTTTTGACCCACGGTGTATGAACTGAGAAGAATAATTTGAAAATTCCATAATTATGAATTTCATAGTTTATGCTCCTCGACATGATTGTAGGTGGAAGTAAAGTTGTCCCTGTGCTTAATACAGTGAACCACCACGACATGAAGATATATTGTAGAATGGAGGTATAGCTCCTCTATTCTTGATTTTGACATTAGATAAGAGGCAGTTGATTTGCTTCATGCCTCAGCGTACTGGAGACTGTGTAGGAAAATGATCTGTTACTCGCGCTGAGAATCGAACCTTGGCCGTCCTATCCCTACCCCAAAGCTGTCGTTATATTAACTTCGCTATCTCGAATCTCGCCAAGTTTTATTAGGTGGATAATATGGGTACATAGCACGCATATGAAAGAAACGAAACGGATAGAACATTTTGGTACGAAAACATAAAAGAAAGGCGCTCCTAGGAATGTTAAGACGTGATAATACTAGATGGATCTAGAAGTAAGAGGGGAGTGTTTTCACTATATTGATCTTACTCTGAATAAGGATGAGTACAAAACTATTGTGACCTCGTCGGTGAACCTTCGGTTTCCATAAAATATTTGGAATTTCTTGCCTAGCCGAGCAAATATTAACTTCTCAAGAGGGAGTCCACTCCATTTATTAATTATTCAGTCAGAGAAAATATGGAACCAAGCAATCGTCACTGATTTTACAGTACTATCGACTTATTTGCTTAGGGATGGTGATTATCGATTCACGCTAAAATGAAGAATAAAGGTCATCTTACAGGGATTGAAATATGTTGCGGATTTTAAGCAGGGTAACATTGGCAGCTTTTGATGGTTTTGTTCTGAAAAGAGTGATATATTACAATGGTATGCAAACTAATGTGAAATCATTTGAGTATACATTAGCTAATAATTGATTTATATCTGCAATAAATCAACTTCAGTGTCTGTGAGTTATGTAAAATAGTAAATAATACATTTGCATAAATTTATGTCTGCCAACTTGGAGTTCATCTTTTCACGTTTGTATCCCAGTGTTTAGGGTATGCCTATGTTTGCTCGAG